TCACTTCTTGTGAGATGGGCAGTATCTGAATTTGAAATATAAATAAATAAATAAATATTAAATGCAGCCTCTGGCCATCACAACATTGCCATCCTCTGCACTGCTACCATCCCATGGTTGTTATTGCCACAATCACACTGGGGGCAAGAAAGAGCCAAGGAGTTGTGGATTGTGCCCTGCAAGACTTCTAGGAGCTGCTGTCCAACACACTGGGAGAGAGTCAGGCTGGGAAGGCTGGGTTTTGGTGTTCACAATGACCGTACCAGACCAGACAGGTGGCAGAAATGTGAGGGGTCAAAAGGACTTTCAAGAATTCAGGGCAAGGAAGTCCAAGCAATTTCTAGAAGGAATTTGGAGCAAGTCCTAGTGAGGTCACTACTGCTTCACTGCCATTAACAGAAACAAAGAAGAAAGCAGAGGACAGATTAGTTCCAGCAGAAGTAATCTAACTCATTTGGGTGCTCTGCTCAATATTAACAGGGTGCCGTTGATTCTTTGCTGTAACTTGGGGCTAGTGGAAAACCCTTATTCATTCTGCTTTAGCCTATAATTAGATATGTTTATTATTCTACATGAGAATATTGATCCCGGTGCCATTAAAAATGCCCCACTAAGATTTTTTTTTAATACAGTAAAATAACTGTTTTACTATGTATTTTGATTAATTATTGCAACTTGTATCAACATATCAAATCCTCAAACATGCATCAACGTGATTTATATCCCCGATGGCAAAATGAGGTACATCTTGATAACATGTAACATCTTCTGGCCATGTTATCAAGATGTACCTCCTTTTGCTATCGGGCATATAAATCATGGGAACCAGTTATATTTTAGCTATATTGAAAGTATAAACATTAACCTCCCTGCAAAGAACCTCTGCTGCCAGATAGTTCAAAAGAGCAGCAGGCAGGCAGTGATAAGAGTTGGAGAGGCAAGCAAACGGCAGGAGGCAGGAGTCACTTGCTACGCAACTGCCTGCCCCTCTGCTTAAAGCAACTGCATCCTGAATTGCCATGAGACTGGGTTGCGTTTAATCTCCCCACGCCCCCTCTGATTTTAGGCAAGGCCCTTTCCCCTCTCTAACAGGCAGATAGGACTAGCTCATTTCACACATTAGAGTGGGGGCAAGAAAGGGCCATCTTTCCTCACCTTTGCCAATATATTTACCTACAATTTGCTATGATGTGTCTTATTCCATTTTGAATTTTAGAAATGGGGGGGGGCGGGGGGCTGGCAGTGCTTCAAGGTGAAATGCTCTCCTTCAGCTGTCAGCTTTATTTTCCCAAGGTTTTAGGTCTGTGTGGCCACAGAGATTGGATTCCAACAACATGCTAAACTCTGTCTAGATTTACAAGCCATTTATTTTATTTTAACTAACATTACCTGGCCTCAGCCCATGTTGTTCATTTATTGTTCAGTATGCTGTGCAGACCCAGAAAATAAGTTAACTGGTTAAACCTTAATTAATCATGAGTAAGTGTGCCATGCGGACCCAGCCAATGAACGTATATCTTGAGAGTGGGATGGGCATGTTTAAGTCTCTTAACTTAGGTTGAAACTGATCCTGAAAGAGAAATGGATAATTGTGACAAATAAATCATACATGCTAGGAATGTGTGGCCAGCTAGGGAAAATGACTTCTTTGCAGTTTCAGATCCCACCTCTGCCCAAATTCTCAAGCAGATAACTTATGTTTTAGCTTTGCCAGTTTGCCTTTCTATAGAGCGGGCTTCTGCTGAACAGAAAAACAGTCCAAAATGAAACTCTTCTAATTTCATATCCAGTGACATATCTATGGTAATTCACATTACTTTGCTTTTGGGATGTGTAATTTCCCTTCCTGTTAAGTGTCTGATTAACCATTTCTTGGTGGCCTCCGTGATTCTGTCTCAAAACCCCAAATGTTCCATCAGCCCCTAAGATACCCCTGAGTATCCAGACACACTTACCCGTGGAATTAAGCTAATTTTCTAGGGTCACGCAACCAGATCCTGAACGATCATTCGAACACGGGCTGCATACCTAGAATATGAGTGGCTGTCTGTGGTCCGGTGCCCAAAGGAAGCACCGTCACCGCGCGGGAGAACTCCGCAAACCAGCCTTAGGTGCGTCCCGCAGATCCCGAGGCGACTCACTTCCAAAAACCAGTGCTCGGCCCACGCTAATGCCGTGACATCTCCGCCCCCCAAAGGACCCTGCACGACTGCTAGCCCGCCGCCTCTGTTGCTCCTTCCTTCGGGGGCGCTACAGACCGCCCTGTTGGGCAACACCCGCCCGGGGTTCCGCAATCGCGCTCGCGGCCCCACGCTAATGCTCGCTGACTCGGGACTCAGCCCACCAGGCTCCACGTCAATGGGAAGGAGAGTGCTCGTAAAGCACGGGAACTCGAGCCAGCATCCCTGCTTTCCCAGCAATTTCTCCTCCTCCCCTGAGAGTTAAGCAGAGGCATTCCCGCCCCCGCCACACACACACAACACACACATTTTGGCAGAGACAAGCCGAGAGCGCTCTTCTGCTCCAGGGCGATTCCGTCCAGGTCGCTCGGCAAGGAAGGGGCAAAGTTCAAGCCAAGCACGGGAAGGGGGAGGGAGGCGGCTGCTGCTGTCCCCGAGCGCGAAAACCTCGGAAGGGGGAAGGAGCTCTCGCAATGAACAAGCAGCCTCACGTGCACAGTTCCACGCCTGCTAATGCACCCGAAGCTCGCCCTGAACGTCGCAAGGGAGAAGACCGCAAGACTCACGTGCGCTCTCGCTCCCCCGGAAAAAGCAGCGCGAAAGCGGCTCTGCCCCCCGCGCTCCCTCGGAAAGAGCATCCCCGCCACGCTGCCCCAACCGCGCCGCGATTTCCCCGGCGAGCGCCCACCTCTTCCGCCTCTCCACCACGGCGCCCCCGCCACCAGCTTTGCCCCCGCCCTCTTCAGCGCCGCGGCAGGCAGGCCCCGCCCTCCGACTATACAAGGGAGGGCGTCATGAAGGGAGGCGTGGCCACGCCCCCTTTGTTGCACATTGAGTTGCCGCCAAACCCTCTTCTCCGCTTTCTGGTTTGGGTCGGGCTACCACCAGCGGCAGGGGGCGCGCTGGATGATGGAGGGGAGCATGTTGGTCGCAAAGGTGAGGGAGTGAAGGGAGAGTCGCGCGGGGCGGGCCCCCAGGAGGGGAGTTCAGGACGGGGGTGGAAGGGGCGCCCCAAAGCAGAGATGCAGATCTCTCATCGCGGTTCCTTTAAGCACCGCCGCGCTCCTGCTGCTGCTTCTCTGCCTGGATGGTCTCCGAAGACAGCCTGAAGTGCCGGCGCTTTGATCAGCCTGAAACATGCACCCGGGAGACGTGTGGCTGCTGCCTCTCCCCTTCTTAGTTTTGGGGAGCCGAGGAAAAGCAGTGGCTTTTAAAATTGGTTTACTCGACGCAGTTGTGTGGGATTGCACAGCAAGCTGAAGCACAGGCTGCATTCACACAAGACATTTCCTATACAGTACTTTGGACATCCTACATTGGTCCTCTCCCAATCCTACCCTGAACTCCCATGCCGTAGGGTTAGATTTCAGTTTTGGAATGATGAATGAGGAACTTGGTAACACCTGCCTCATCCCCCATTCTGTATAGCCTTTCCTTCCGCTACTGCCAGGGGTAGGTGGAAGATAATCTGGATTTCCCAAAACATCTGATTCACTTATAGTAGATGAGCAAGGATGTCTGACTTTCATTTACCCAATGATAAGAACAACACATTGTCTACCCTTTCCCTGTCCCCTAAGTGCTACTGCAGACAAGAAGAGAGCTTGGGATCACCAGCTATAAATTTCTGTGTGGAGCGGCCTTCATTTCTGATACACAAAACCTGTTCCTGGGGTCAGGATGAATTTGAAGTGTACGTCTTTGGCACTTGGCTTGTGTTGATGGATCTTAGCATTCTAGAAGGTGTAATCTCAGAGGGTGAATTTTATTAAATGGGTAAAATTGATTTATACTTCACAAAAGGCACAGATAATTGTAAATGGAGAATTAACAAAAACTGGTGAGATAAGAAAGGGACAAGACAAAGATGCCCATTATTATTCATCTTAGCTCTGGAAGTATGGAAGGCATAAGACAAGATGAAGGAATTGCTGGAGTGAGGATTAAAAGAGAAATATATAAATTATGGGTGTTTGCCAATGATTTGGTGATAATTTTGGAAAATCCTTTGGAAGGAATAGAAATATTAATGGAAAAATTAAAGGATTTTGGTGCGTTAGCTGGATTTAAAATAAATAATGAGAAAATGATGTTAACAAAAAACATGAGGATGGAAGAGCAAAAAACTGAAAAAACCAGTTTTAAGATTGAGAAAAAAGTGAAATACTTGGGTATTACTATGACCAATATGAATCATATGTTATTTCAGAACAATTATGTTAAGACATGGAATGAAATTAAGGATGTGCTAAGATGGGAGAAATTGTAATTGTCATTGTTGGGGGGAAATTCTATGATTAAAAAATGAATGTTATTTTTGTTTCAAACAATACCTGTTTTGACAACTGATGTACCATTTAAGCAATGGCTGAAAGATATGTCTAGGTTTGTATGGCAAGGGAAAAAGCCAAGGGTTAAATATAAAATCTTCCAAGATGCAAAGGAATGAGGAAGATTGGGACTGCCCGATTTAAAACTGTATCTTGCAGCCTGCTGCTTGGCTGGATGAAGGAATGGGTGCTGCTTGGAAATAAGAGAATTTTAGAACTAGAAGAGCATGACCTGAGGTTTGGATGGCATGGTTTTCTATGGTACGATAAGGTTAATGTAGATTTTAAAAATCACTATATTAGAAGTGCCATATTGAAACATGGAATAGATTTATTGTGCTTGAAAATGCCTTAATGGGTCTCAGCACAAGAAGCATTTTATAGAAAAGAAACAGCAGGCAAAAAGAGAGCTGTTAAAACAAGAGCACGAAGAACATAAGATGAAATCAAGAGATCAACTGACTTGGATTTAGCTTTCAATGGTTCTCATATGCACAGTTAAGAGAAAGATTTAAGGTAGATAACAGGGCATTTGGAATTGAACACAAGACAGAATTTGAAATAAAACTATGTACAAATGATGAACATGTAATTGATAAAATGTATAAACTTTTGTTGAAATTTGAAATGGAAGAAGAACAAATGAAAGAGTATATGATAAAAAGGCTAAGAACTTTGGACATAATACATTGATGGAACAATGGGAAAATATGTGGCTGAAAGGACTGAAATTTACATTATGTTATAACTTAAAAGAATTTTTTAACAAAATGATGTATCATTGGTACATGACTCTAGAAGAATTATCCACAATGTTTAAAGGTATTTCAAGTCTCTGTTGGAAATGTGGAAAACATGAAGGGTCATGATGGAACAATGGGAAAATATGTGGCTGAAAGGACTGAAATTTACATTATGTTATAACTTAAAAGAATTTTTTAACAAAATGATGTATCATTGGTACATGACTCTAGAAGAATTATCCACAATGTTTAAAGGTATTTCAAGTCTCTGTTGGAAATGTGGAAAACATGAAGGGTCATTTTATCATGCCTGGTGGACTTGTAAAAAAG